CTCCCAGTCTCCACTGAACAGAATTCTTGCTGTAGTCACAGTGTCTATTCTCTCTCTTTGAGGGCCTTCCTCGTCTTCTTTTTTTTTCTGACACCCTACTTTTCCAAAGACATACCCGGAGTCTGTGAGAAGCAGTCTCACCCTCCTTGTTCTGCAGGGCACTCTGGCTTCCCTTCACAGTGAAAGAGGAAGCTAAACTGGTCAAGTTCTTCTGTCTCCAGGAAGAATCAGACCAAAAACCCCATTACTGTGTAGTCAGCTCCAACCCACAGCGAGCCTGCAGGCAGAACAGAACTACCCCGTGAGGTTCCCAAGGCTGTACCTTTACAGCGGAAAACTCTCCCCTCCAGGAACAACCACTTAACTGCTGCACCACCAGGCTTCTCCCAAACAGACTGACTCAAATAGCTATGAATTTGGCCGTTAGGATTCAGAGCATATACTGCTTTAGAGTCACACAGGACCCGCACATCCTCGTTCTGTAGACAAGAAAGTCAAGATTTACAAAGACAGGGGTTGTCCTATGGTAGAGCCAGCTAGAAGCAATCCTCCAAGACAGTGTAGAAAAAGTCCTATGGGGGTTTTCTAGTCTGAGTTTGGTTTTTTGGTTTGTTTTTTAAATAATTTTTATATTATTTGTGTGTGTGTGTGTGTGTATACCGTGAAATCAGATCTGACTGGTACAGTAGGAGATAGTCCCTCCATCTTCAGCAGAGCATCTGGTGAATTCGAACCGCGCACCTCTGGGATTGCAGTCCAGCTTCCTGCCACTAGGCCACCAGAGCTCCCTTAAGTCTGAGTTTCTTATGGAAGCAAACGACTAGGTCTTTTCTCTTACCGAACGTCCAGTATTTTGGTTGACAGTCACGTGCCTAACCATTGCAACACCAGGGTTCCTTCTGGTGACAGACTCGGCATTTCTAGCATCGAGTTCTTCTCACACTGTGGCCTTCTGCTGTCAACTTGACTTGTCTTTTCTGTATCATGCCCTGTCATGTAAATATAAAGTCGGCCTGAGGGATAGAAGTGCTTTTGTTAAAATGTGCACTGCAATTCACCATCTCAAAAGAAGTGTGAAGAGTCTCTGTTGTTGTGTGTCGTCAAATCAGAACCAAGCCATAGCTGACCCTCCAGTGGGTGTTCAGAGGCACTAAGCTGCGTGAGAGGAGATTGCCCATTCCCTCTCCCTGGGAGAAGCTGGTGGATTCGAACTGTGTGCCTTTGGGATTGCAGCACGGGTGATGAAAATGATTACCTCACTCGGCTGCAAACCCAAAGATCAAAGATTCAGGTCCACCAAAGTCCATCCAAGTCTTTCTTGAAAGAAAGACTTAGTGATATACTTTTGGAAAGTCAGCCAGTAAAAATGCTGTGGCTCACGGTTCTATTCTGACGCACATGGCGTCACCAGAAGCAACTTGGCAGCAGCAGCTAGCATTGGGAAGGAGCGTAAAGCTGTGCATGAAAGAAGTGTCGATTAGTAGAATCCCTTTCTATCTGCGGAGCGTATGCACTGGCTCTTATGAAAAGCTGCTTTCCAAGTGACCAGTTACCTCCAAGACACCTTTTCTTCAGAAAAATTTAAATTCACTAAGGTGGAAGATAATAGTATTTTTTCTAATATGTTGTTATTCAATGACATTGAGTCACCTACAACTCACAGCAACCCTATGTCCATCAGCTCTGAATCCTGTCCTATCCTGAGCCTGTCTCACTGTCTTGACAGACCTATTCCCATTTCTCCAGTCACTGAGTCAATCCATCTCATCTTGAGTCTTCCTTTCCTGCTCTGTCTTTCCACCCTTCCAAGAATGATGTCCTTCTCCAAGGACTGGTCCCTCCAAGCCACGTGCCCAAAGTATGAGAGATGAAACCTTCAGAATCCTTGCCTGCATAAATAATATTGAACTAGTTGAAGAAATATTCTGCATAGAATAGAGGTTTAGAGTCACTAAAGTTAAATTCCTTGGTGGCCTAATGGTCAGGAGCTTGGCTCCCAACCCAGAAGCACATGGTTTGAATCCACCAGCTGCTCCGTAGGAGAAAGATGGGCAGTCAATTCCTGTGTGATTTATTGCATCCAAAAACGCACTGGAGGGTCAGTCATAAGTCGGTTCCAACTTGATGACTCCTAACTACATACATAAGAGATACGATGTGTCATATTAATGTTTTAGTTGTCTCAAGCTGGCTGCAACTCATGGCCACCCCATGTACAATCAGATGAAATGTTGTTTAGTTTGAGGCCATGTTTCAGTCACAGTATGTTCTGAACACCTTCCAACCTAGGAAGCTCATCTACCCTTATCCTGGAGAATGTTCCACTGTGAGCGGTAGGGTTTTCACTGGCTAATTTTTGCAAGTGTATCACTAGGCTTTCCCCCCTCTGGACTAGCTTAGTCTGAAAATTTTGCTAAAACTTTTATTAAGAGTTTATCATGAATGATGCTGCTGATATTTGAAATATTGGATACAAAGCTTCTAACATCATAAGAACATACAATTCAGCACAGAACAACAAATTGGCAGACAGCCCAAACTAATAGAATACAAATATATACGTGTATGTATACATACATATTCAAATTTATATACATGACCCAGTGAGGTAGAGTATAATGGTGTGTTGTGTTGCTGTTCAAGAGTCCAATGTCTGGTGGCTTGAATCTTCCAGCTGCTCTGAGGATGGTGGGGCGTCTCCTCCCCTTGGGGTATGTAGCCTCAGAAAACTGAGAAGAAGGTAACTATGAGTGGGAACAGAGTTCTGGTGGCCTAGTGGGTAGAGAGTTGTGCTGCTATCCCGAAGGCAAGCATTCCAAATCTACCAGCTGTTCCACAGGAGAAAGATGGGCAGTCTCCTCCCTTGCAATTTATAGCCTCTAAAAACCCACTGAAGGGTCAGCTATGAGTTGGTTCCAATCCCATGGCATAGTGAGTAAATGTCTCTCTTATATGTATGATACATATGTATTACATATTAAGTAGATACAAACTATATTATAAATCAAAAGACAAGTTATTTATTGTTGTTGTTGTTATGTGCCATCAAGTCACTTGTGACTCATGGCGGCCCTATGTATAAGAGCCTTAAATGCCGTTCTATCCTGTGCCAACCTCGTCGTCTCAAACACATTCATTCCCACCACTGCACTCACAGAATCGATCCATCTCATCGAGGGTCTTCCTCTCCTGCGCCGTCCCTCCACTCTCCCAAACATGATGCCCCTCTCCAAGGACCAGTCCCTCCTTTCAACATGCCCAAAGTATGTCAGACGAAGCTTCAGAATCCTTGACTCCAAGGAGCATTCC